TACGAGTTGAATCTCTAATAATGCATGAACCAACAGCAGAATTAGTTATTCACCAAGAATGTGGTTTCAAAATTCTGGCACTAACAGGCTGCTATAACTGTGCGCTGGGCGCGCACTTCACAGCTATCTGCAAGTCGCCAGTCCAAGCTACGGTGACAGTAACGTGTCAGACGCAGCAATTCCAAGTGAGATGCGGACCGATGGATGAACAAAATGACGTGATCCTTAGTTTCGATCATGCTCTAGTCCATGAACAGTGTGATGCTCACTGCTCAGATAAACCAACAAAATTCCTACTAAACGGGACACTACGCTATCACATAAGCAGCCCTCAAGGCGTCTCAGCCTTCGAGCTAGAATCTCATGGCATACCACTGTCACATCAGTGGCTCTCGGACATAAGCCTACCCAGCCTTGAGCCCATCGTCAACGTCATTGTGACCCATTGGAAAATGACATTGGGAGCCCTAAGTGCGACACTGGGCCTAGGACTTCTAACCTACCTAGCAGGCCCTTTAATTTGCCTGAGCATCGCGAAAGTAGTATGCACGATAGTGGCTTCAATACCGAAGACAATTTGGAAGGCACTACACTACCTATTTAGTATGAGCAAGGCCACGATCTCTACACAGGGACAAACCGCTCAAGTGTAACCCCCCCTCTATCGAGTCCACAAAAAAAGAGTCCACATCAACAACAAAAAAAAGTGCACCGAAGAGGTACAAAGCTCTTCCCGGTGTCTCACCGATAAAACAGCATCACACATGGAAAAAAAAAGTTGACTCACCTTTTCTTCTAGTTCTTCTTCGCCTTTCTTCATCTACTTCTTCACCGCCTTCAACAACTTCGCCCACATGGACTCCAACGACGCCTTCACCTCCAACAACCAGCCGCCGCCTCGCCTCTACACCTCAACGCCAACAACCACACCGCTCATCATCACATTGTCGCCAACAACTATTGCCTACCGCGCCCAACAACGAAGATGCCGATATGTGATATCTATTATGTGTTGTTGCGATTTGTTGCATTTACATGTTTCATAATTTTCGCCGCTCGCCGGAGTATCATCGTCTGCGCATCGCAGACGATGATCCCTTACGACCTCAAGTCTGGCGGGGGCGGGGCTAACATTGTACAAACAAGCAGTGATACTATATCGACACTTCTCTCTTTACGTTCACGGAATAAACCCGTTAGTAACTCTCTCTGCTCTCACACTCTGTTCAATATCACAAAACCACTGAACCACCGCGAGGTGCTTTATAAAGGGTTCAATAAAACCCAAGTCTCAGCGCCCATTACATTACAGGTCTTAGTCGAAG